CATGCTCGCCGAGATGAACACGGTCCGCAAGTTCAACTAGTATGGATTTTCTATAATTTTCTAACTATTTTCTAAGTTTATATTTTATATATATACTATGTTTGGGTACGGTGATTGATGACTCACTGCGATTTATATCGGGACATATGAATAAATAACCATCTGCATTAGTTGAACTTGTTTACGTGATCATCTCGGCGAGCATTTCTCCACCGGACGGCACCGCATTTGGCCACAGAAGAGCTCGATTCTACGAGGAAGGAACACGGTCTTCCACGACCGCTGCCGCTCTCCCTCGTAGAATCAAAGCTCCTCCTTGACATCCGTTATCGCTTTCGCGGAGAACGTGCTCGCCGAGATGAACACGATCCGCAAGTTCAACTAGCTACTTTAACCTTATTTCATGTAAATATGCAAGCTTGAAGTGATTTTGAGCTCAAATTGCTTACAAATGAAAAAACCACAATAAAGAACCATATATATATATAGTGAACAAAATGAGATAAGACAATGGTGAAAAATGAGAGTATGAGATTGGTAACCTTTACAACCAAGAATCGACAGAGGAATCAAGAAATCGACGGAGGAATCGAATAATGGATGGAGGAACAATGGAGGGAGGGAGGAAGCAAGAACACTAGTGCAAAGTGAGCTTCAAAATGTGCTGAGCTCGGGCTCGGGAGGAAGAAGGAGACGGCCGGGATATAAGGATTTTAGTCCCGGTTGGTGGCTCCAACCGACTAAAAGTAATCTTTCAACCCCGGGCGCAGCCACGGCCCGAGTAGATTTACTTTACTCGGTTGGAGCCACCAACCGGGAGTAAAAGTATATTTAGTCCCGGTTGGTGGCTATAACTGGGACTAAAGGTCCCCGCCACCTCTGTACAAGCGCAGAGCCATTAGGCGGGGACCTTTAGTCTCGGTTGGAGACACCAACCGGGACTAAAAGGTATTTCTAGTCCCGGGTGTAAAAAATTCCGGGACTAAAGTCCATTTTGACCGAGGATCAAAGGTCTGTTCTCTACTAGTGAGTCCATTGAAGACACTCCCAAAGCCTCCTTTACCAAGAAACACACTGTCCTTGAACCCACTGGTAGCTGCAAAGAGGTCATTGTAGGTGAAGGATGGAGCCCCATACTCCTTCTCCCACTCTAGTTCAGTTTTTCTTGCTTGTAGCCGCCTCTTCATATGGACCATGAAAAGAGAAGCAGAAACCACTATAGCAATTCCAAGAGTTGGTAAAATAGTTGCTAACAATATTGTCTTGTTGCTGCGAGGGCGAGAATGAATTTGTGTAGCAGCAGGCACTCGTGGCGGCACAAGGTCTTCGATAGTACTCAAACATAGGGCAGAGTAGTTGAGCGGTGCAGCAAAGAGGAATAGTACAGAGGAGAGAAAAAATACAAAAGCTAGTTTCATCTTTGATGTTTCACTACTACATAAACTTCCATCGCTGCCGGTTGCTAAACCTTTATCATTATGGGATTGGCAGCCGGCAATGGGTATAGTGGCAGTGATATATATAGTCTCATTTATCACTGTCGGGGTAAGCGACCAGCATTGTTGCCATTTTTAACACAATACATAATAAAAGTAAAAAAAAAAACAGCAGCTGCCGAGCCCATGCGCCATCGGACCCGAGTTGCTGACTAGAACCACTTTTTTTTTTAAAAAATGCAAATTAAAAAGAGTTAAAAATAAATACGTCAACATGCAAAGTTTGCATTTTATAAGACACAAGACCACAGAAGTGTTTGGTCATGACAAGCAAACACACATGCTTATGCAAGCTCGGCTTATGCTCGAACAACACCTACTCCTGTATATATATACTACATTCGCCTCAAAGAAGAATACAATTCTAGGTCGGCTCAAAATCAAACTATATTAAATTTGATTAAACTTATAGAAAATAGTATTAACATGTATGATTCTAAATAGATATGCTATGAAAATACAGTGTGCTTCGTGACGAATCTAATAGTACCCATTAAGTGCGATAAATATAAGTATCTGTTTTTAGAAAATAGAGGGAGAACAAACAAAAGGCTCGTAGAAGTCCAATGTGTTAACTTCTAAAAAAAACAAAGTATGAACGTGACAGATCCATAGTTATCGCTCAAACCCATGTGCATGGTTAGGATTGCGACAAGGGCTGACCATTAGGCCATTAAGTGCGTGGATCGTCATACGGGCCAGGGGCAATTATATTGTTCGAATCAAGGGAAAAAAAAGTCTCTTTTATAAGCTCGGCCGGCACACCATCCGCCTCTTCCTTTATTTTAAGTAACATGGCCATATATAAGAGATGACAAATCATCGGGAGTAGGATCAACTTATACGAAACTAAAATATTTTTATTATTATTATGGGCATCCTATCGGTGTGCAAGGGTCGTTGCAACAATTACTAAGAAAGGGACTTCTACGAGCAGGCCCCAAAAGAAAATTTAGACCCTGTTTGAAGTCGTTGCTTTGATAGAAGCAAGAGAAACTCGAAAGTTCAATTTTTTTTTTCTAGGACTTCTTCCTTTAAATATAACAGGCAGCTTTTCTACGTGTTCTATTTCAAAGAAAAATATAAAAGTACGTAAAGTATATTACCTCCATCACAAATTTAAAACATTTCTAGTTGTGTCCGGTCCTAAATCAAATTATTTTCCATTAAACAAATATGTAAAGAGAATTTAACATTTATGACAATAAATTTGTAGATCATCGCCAAGACCACCACCTGCAGGGGCTTTCGGAGGAGCCTTAAGAAAGCGTCATCAAGAAGCCCCTGCAGCATGGCAAAAAAGGGGCCTTCGATAAGGGCCTGACCTCCTCCAACAAAGGAGGAGGCCCAAGGAGTGAGGCCACCCAACACCGGCTCGAGAAGGGCCCATTAGGTAATACGTTTTTAGAGAAGAAATGCCCCTTCATCCCTTGTGACTGTAACACGTCAGATATCCTATAAAAAGAATATTATGGTATATTCTATAGTAAGTAGAGAGTTTTCTTGTACCGAGAAAAGTTATACGTAACTGTATCCTATAAAAAGGGGACTCAGATATCGAGAAAAATGAGAGAATCAATTCTATCAACCACCATTTAGTTTGTCGTCTCGGTAATAATGCTTGTTGTTTTGAAGGTTCTTACCTTGGGCCTGAACCTCCGGGCCAACATTGGTGCCCGCCTTGGTTGGCTGAAATAACGCTTATGCCACCTAAAAGGAAGTTAGCTGTACCGCCAAGACCATGGCCTAACACTCAAAGCGCATACACCACACCACTCGACCTGGCAAGACAGCCGTCAAGTGAGAAACAACCAGAGTCATGCCACCGAATTTATTAGGGTGTGTTTGGTTGGTGGAATCATCTCATACTTCATGAGGTGGTGCATCATGAGTTCATTCTATGAATTTTAGTGGAATCAATCAAATCCTCCTGCATATACTCATTATTAGCTTTGTGAGAAATTAGGTGGTGATGAATCAACCCATTCCATTTCATAGACCAAACAAAAAACTAAAGAACGGGTAGATGATGAGTTACCACATTCCTCGGACCAAACATGTCCGAGGAAGAAATGGACCATGATACACCATCTCATCTAGGATGGATGGAGTGATTCTTTAAATCAAACATCCTATAAGTGCTTCACAAACAAAAAATTGAGTGTAAGTCTAATATTTCCACTCTTTGGTGTGTTGCTAGTGGTGGACTGATGGAGCTTTGTATATGGTTATGAAAATGTTTCGGTGAAACGTGTGCGCCGCGTCTACCAATCTTTTTTTTTTTTGACAACATCTATCTACCAATCTTTGGTACGGAGACAAGGTGCAAAGTGGACCTTTGGGACTCAAACCAATTCGTAGCACACCTAGTCAATCAGTTGTCACTAAATAAAACATATCAACAGTGCGTTCGTATGGCCACCATTAACTATATTTATTGTCTTAGCGACCACTGGTTGCGATCCAATGGATGATTATTTATATTTATTGATTACTAACTGTATGTTTGTTCGTCGTCGCTCGTCGGCGTGGAATCTTTACCAGTCGGCCAGCCAGCCCCGCCCGCCCGCCCGCAGATACCAAGACGGAGGAGTTGATTTCAAAAAAAAAAGTCATCCATTTAGTATATGACCTAGCAGGTGGGCCACATTCATTTTAAATTCATGAGAGAAGAGTCGACTCTGAAAGGCTGGAATCTTCCATTCAGTATATATTTCATTTCATTTCATTTCATTTCATTTCGTCAGCTCCTCTGGACCCCGTCCAGAGTTGACATTGCTTCGTTCCGCTCGTCGTCCTCTCCATCGTGGGAGCGCAGCTGGGCGGCGGCGGTAGCCTTGAACCGAATCAAGCAACAAGGCAGCTGATTCCAGCCGGCGTTGTGCAGGCGTTCAGCGTCACAAGCACACAAAAAAGTGGGAAACCAAGTTTTCTGCTGCCCAAGCAGGTTCGTGGCACTCACTAGTCACTAGCGACGCAAAGCCAAGAGCAGTCGTAAGTTGGCGTGGTTATGGTTTAATTGCTCATGTTTTGCGCGGGAAATTCCTTCTCCGTTGCTTTGTATTCAGTTTACTCATGTGTATTTCGTCTGGGTCTTTGAATATATAGTGCACAAAGAGGGATTTCGAAATGGAATGGATGGAATGACATGTTTCTCCATTCCAATCAAAGTGAAGCTGCAGTAGACAAGCCTCAGTTACTGATGGTCCCATGATTCCCGTTTTGATGACTTCATACCGATGCTAAAAAGGCTCTAATCCAGGTATGCATGCTGCTGGGACACCCTGGCCCCAACATGTGTTGTATATGTTACTAGTATGGATTATTCAGTTAATTTTCTTTCTTGATGAAAGAATTATTCAGTTGTTGAATAAGTGCCTCACCAATCTTTCTACAGGATGCTTCGCTTGGCATATATATCTCACATAGATATTAATTCATGATTGCTCGGTGCTTGCTGCTCTGTGACAAGGATATATATACACCAGCTAGCTAGGAAAATCAATGGAGATCGTGACAGGTGCATTGAGCACCCTACTCCCCAAGCTTGCCGTGCTTCTGACCAGCCAATACAACCTGCAGAAAAAACTGAGGGACGATATCACGTTCCTCAAAGCCGAGCTGGAGAGCATGCAACCTGTCCTAGAAAGGGTTTCAGAGGCTCCAATAACAGACAAGCAGATTATGATATGGGCAAGGGAAGTGAGAGAACTGTCATATGACATCGAAGACAGCATCGACAAATTCATGGTGCACATTGAGGACAACCCATCAGCAAAGCCGCGTGGATTTGGGGGGTTCATTCATAAGAGTTTGAAGTTGTTGACAACAGCCAAGCTTCGCCATACTATTGCCTCAGAAATCACAGGCATCAAGGAGCTTGTCTATGAGGTGGCTTCGAGGCATGAAAGATACAAGATTGACACTGCCTCTTTTGTCCGACCAGACAACACAACAATTGACCCTCGGCTGATGGGTATTTACGAAAGGACTTCGAAACTTGTTGGCATCAGTGGCCCACAGGACAAGTTGAAGGAGTTGGTAATGGAGCCAGAAGGCACGTTGAATCGTCACCTAAAAGTGGTCTCGGTTGTTGGACCTGGTGGTTTGGGCAAGACAACACTCGCCAATATCATGTATCAACAGCTTAGAGAGCAGTTTGAGTGTCATGCTTTTGTATCAGTGTCTCTTAATCCTGATTTAAAGAAGATTCTGTGCAGCATTCTCCGCCAAGTTACCAAAAACCTTTATTCCAGCATTGAAGCATGGCCTGTTGATGAAATTATCTACAATACAAGACTACATCTTGAGGATAAGAGGTACACAAGTCAACAAATGCTTACCTTAAGTTGCACCAACCTATGCTTCTAAAATCCAATTTTCTTTGTTCTGTACTCAAGAACGATGAAATATTTGGTACATAATAAGATATAAACAAAAAACAATTGGTACAGCGTAAGCAAGTTAGCCAAACAGAATAGGTATATATCCATGTGAACTAATATTATTTTTAAGAGTAAATATATCTTGGATGGAAATGTCAAGTTGATGAAGATACAAATATCTTTGTTGCTGGCCGTTAAGAGTACATCTATTTAGACCAATCCAAAGTTTGTTTAGTCCAGTTTTCAAATTAAACCACCTAGTTTTGTGATTCATGGAGATTTTAGTTTCCGTACTTCAAGCCCATGTTTTACTGTATTATAATCTATACTCTGATTCGGTACTCCAAGTGTTAATGCTTGTATGGTCAACATCTTTTTCATATATGCACACATATTTTAAGTCTAGATTTCTGAATTTGGTTCTTCACTATTCTGCTCAGATTTTTTTGAGTGTAAATTCACATCAAATTTATCTTCCTTTTTTTGTCTTGTCTTCGCTGGACCTTTTCAATGGTGACCTTGGTACTCACTAGAGAATTATCAAGTTGTGCTTTTATTTGGATTTGTTATTACTTGTAATTCTGATTGGATAAACTATCTATTTAGTATTATGTCATTTCTCATATGAAGCATCGCTGCTTTTTAGATGTGGTTCTTGTCTATTCCTTTACTAATTACTACTGGTAAGGATTACATCACAAATATGGGGAATTCATTTTGTTGTCCTCACTTACTATTTTGTATCAAAGCATCCAAATTTCTCCTGATTAGTTGGTAATATTTTCATTTTACCTTGTCTACTTTGTTAATTTTCCTTACAAAACAACAGGTACATTATTATACTTGATGATATATGGGACAAATCAGCTTGGGATCTTATCAAGTGTGCATTAGTTGACAACAACTGCGGCAGTAGAATAATTACAACGAGTCGTGTACTTGATGTTGCTGCGTCGTGCTGCTCAAAAGTTGATGGTTGTATCTATAAACTAAAACCTCTTTCCCATGATGATTCAAAGAAGCTGTTCTACAGAAGAATATTTGGATCTGAAGATAGTTGTCTCTTAGAACTGAAGGAAATGTCAGAGAAAATTTTAAGGAAGTGTGGTGGAGTACCATTAGCCATCAACACTATAGCTAGCTTATTGGCAAGTAAGCCAAAACATATAAATGAATGGTACAGTGTGCACAATTCTATAGGTTCCGGACTTGTGAAAGAAACTAGTGTGGAGAATATGAGGAAGATATTATCTATGAGTTATTACAGCTTACCTTCCAATCTAAAAGCTTGCTTATTGTACCTAAGTATATTCCCAGAGGATTATACCATATCAAGAGATCAGTTGATCCGCAGATGGATATCTGAAGGCTTTATTCCTGGAGAAGATGTGGTTACTTCATATGAACATGCAGAAAATTATTTCAGTGAACTCATTAACAGAAGCCTGATAGAACCAGAATATGTTGACAGTCATGGCAGGGTGCTAGATTGCCATGTACATGATATGATACTTGATCTCATCACATCTTTGTCATATGATGAAAATTTTGTCACTGCATTACACGGTCAGCAATCCACATATATGCCAAACAAAATTCACCGTTTATCCTTCCAAAGCATGACAGATGGGCTTGTCACACTGAAGACAATGAACTTGTCTCATTTGAGGTCACTTATCGTCTTCCCTGGGGCTACCAACTTGTTGCCACCTCTTTCGAGCTTCCATCTTCTGCGTGTACTGGATTTTGAAGGCTGCCATGACTTAGATTGTAATCAAATTGATGGTCTTGTGAATTTATTTCATTTGAGGTGCCTGGTATTGAAGGATACAAATATTGCAAACCTTCCAAAACAAATTGGGAAACTTGGTTGTTTGCAGAAACTGGACTTAAGGAACACTAGTATAAGTGTACTTCCATCAGCAGTTGTTCAGTTAAGAAAACTAGTGAGCCTACATATTGATAGATCAGTGATGCTACCAGTTGGGTTTGGGGGGCATGAAATCTCTGCAAGCCCTGACATATATTGGTGTCAGCATATCCCCAAAGTTCATGAAAGAGCTAGGAAATTTGACTGAACTAAGGATTCTCCACATTTCACTGAGTGGTACAAGACAAATGAATTACGAGAAATCTTTACTAGATTCTTTGTGCAAGCTGAAAAAACTCCATGAATTGTTAATTTTAGGTGGACAATTGTCGAGATTGCCAAGGTGGATCAGTTCCTCACTCTTATGCATCCGCACATTAGACATGAAGCTCAACACATTAGCCCTGGAGGATTTAAAAAATCTTGGGGCCATAGTGTGTCTGCTTGATCTCTGTCTTATGGTGCTAAATGATGAAACAGAAAGATTGGTTGTTGGTGTTGACCGTGGAGAGTTCCAGTGTCTTGTTAGGCTTTCGTTTGTCAGCAATGCAATGAGGATAATATTTTCAAAGCAAGCTATGCCAAGGCTCGAGAACCTTGAGCTTGCCTTAGAGTTCAAGAGAGTAAGGATTTTGATATCGGCTTGGAAAACCTCTCTTCACTTAAGCATGCCACCATAAGAATCGATTGTTGGGGTTCCAGTGTTGATGAGGTGGAGCGTGCTAATGCTGCTATTCAGAGGGCAGTGTTCTTGAATCCCAATCACCCCAAGCTTGATGTGATCAGGCATTTTTACAATGACATGGTAGGGGATGATGAGATAATAAGTGTCCATGATGACATGAATGAAATAGAAGAAGAGGTAATTTTATTTACTTATACTGCAACATAGAGGTGTGATGATGACTTGGGCACTTGGTACTTGGTATTGGTAGTGATACCAAGTGTTCGCACATAGTTTTCGAGGGGGTACTTTTTGTTATATTAGTAAGATATCTTCCCAAGAATCACTATTAGACACTTGACACTATCATTTCATATGGTTTTGGTAATTTGGTTCAACTTGGATCTTTCATGCAGATTTTGGCAGACAAGATGGGCCCTTGGGGTGGAAATGGTGGGGTTGCTTGGGACATAAAGGTTGCTTCCTGTCATTTGGAAAGTGTGACGATTTGTAGTGGTACGATTATTGATGCAATTTCGTTTTCTTACCGTGATGGAAATGGGAGGCAGCACACAACTCAATATTGGGGCGGCACTGGTGGCAGTGCTTATTCGGTGAGTTTATTACTAGTCTGCAAGACAATCATGATGCATAGTTTTGGTTCTTATTTTAATTTCTGTAGTCCAAATACAGCAAGCCGGTGATCTCCAGCATGAATTATATACAGTTTCCTCGCAGGTGATACATGCAGATTAATTTCTCCATTTCTCTTGCAGATTCGTCTTGGGGCTACAGAATTTCTCAGGGAAGTGTCTGGAACAGTCAGGCCATTCTTTTCAATACCCAGCGCTGTAACATCACTTAGGTTAGTGTCCAATTTACGTCGGTATGGGCCTTTTGGAGTGCCGCTGGGAACTCCATTCTGCAGTAAGGTCAAGGAAAACAACAGCATTGTTGGTTTCTTTTGGGCGGTCAGGGGCGTACCTTCATGCACTTGGTGTGTACGTTCGTCCTGTCTGACTCAGCTACTGCTACATCTGATCGTATTCGGAAAGTGAGTCTCATCCGATTCTGACGAAGTGTTCCTTCGGCCTTCTCGCACAGTTGATCTTGTGTCAAGAACTCAATATTAAGCTTGCTTTTCAGATTTCAGATCGTCTTCAGTCTTCTTGTCTTCTTATTTGTTCCCTCTTTTCTTTTGCGAGTGTCAATCTTCATATGCAGTACGTGTTTCTCCAATCACTACCAACCCCTAATCTTGAGCAGGGCAATCACAAGCTTATTGTCTATTTGTCTAATTAACAAAGTTCAACGGATGTGCTTCGTAGGTAACAACATTCTATAATCTGTAGCAAATTATAATATTCAATAATTTAAATCACTATTTCTAAAAATGAAACAATTAAGCAGTTAAAATAACCAGGGAAAAAAAAAATCCCATCCATCTCAATAATTAAAATAATCAAGGAAACAAAAAGAAACCCGGGTGAAGGCATGTAGTATTTTGGGTCACTTGATCCTACTCATCGTAAAGCATCATGACCCATATCATCTACTAGATTTTTGTGCCACACTATGCTCCATAATTCATTATATTAAAACATAATTAAATTCAATAGTTTAGAAAAACTCAATTAAATATATTAAATGAAGGGATGCAACATGCTTATGCATGACAGGGTGTGTACGTAGCCATATAGGCAAACACAAACTACTTTTAAAAAATTATCTAGGACAGGGGACCAACGCCTCGACGATCCTAACGACGCTTCACCATCACTTCTACGTAGTCCGGATGATCAACATCGATTAATTATAATAGATAACGAGATCTTCTACTAGCAAATAAGCATCAGCTGAGTCCATCAAGATTCAAACAGTTTCAAGTTAGACACCATAAGATAGAGCATGATTTTAGAAGAAAAAAACTAGTTTCATAAATTTCCAAGCTAAAACAAAAATTCTATGAATTTTCTAAGATTAAACAAGATTTTTATTTTTATTGAATTATTTTTCCATGCAAGAATATTTAGATAGATTGTTGAAATTTATTTTTACGATTTTTGGATATTTTTTAAATATTTGTAGTCTAATTTATCTCCAAATGAACTTTCAAGGTAGTTCGATTTACCCGCCCACCATCAAAACCACTTAGGATGAAAAACACAAATGGTTTAAAAGTTGAGAATGTTAAAAAAAACCCGGTCTTATAACGAGGAAGATCGGAGTTAAAACTTAAAAGGAACTTTTCCATTGTTGAACAAGGTTAAACAGACTTTTTTTTTCTCTATATTCCAAAAGATCTGTATCTTGGAATTCTCAGACGGCCTGGCCCAATATCCAGGAGTCCAGTACACACCCATGGGAAGCCCACAGCCCACGGAGTAGCCATCCCCCACTTCTCCCCACCGGCCGCCGAATTTGGTCGATTGCCGGCGCCGGCGCCGCTCGCTTAATCCCACTCCTGTCTCCTCATCCAGCACAGGGGCCGACCGCTGCTGCCTGCCTCTGTTGGCGTTTGGCGATCGGAGATGGATGGAGAGGAGGAGAACGTCGGGCCGTTCCGTCGGACCAGCGCCCGCACGCGCCGCATGGCCACACGCATGGCGTCCGCGCTCGCCAGCTCTGACAACCGCGCCCAGGTAACGAGGAGATTCGAGTCAATTGACTGCTTCTGCTTCCCCCTCTTCCTCCTATTCCAAGCTGTTTCCCTCTCGTTCATGAAATTACCCCCCTTTATGTTCTGCTGCCCAGTTATGAATACCTTCATATCTGTAATGCCATGCAGGCTGCTTTAGCTCGCCTTGAAGCTCTTGAGAGCGACAATGCCGGGGTTGAGGTGGTAGATCTTAATGATGACGAGTACGGAACCATGGATGAGGAAGACCCTGGTCAGTTCCTTTCTCATTTAGCTTCGTAGTAATAGTAATGCCATGATGTCAAAAAGGATAAGTTAGATACAGTATGTTCAAGCTCGATGACAAAATATTACTCTTTGCAAGCGACAAGTACTGAAACACAGATTTCTTGTGTATGACATATTCTGATATCACTTCTAGTATCAATTTTGCAGAGGAAAAAAACAGCATTCTGTGTTTCTTATCCTTGCATCGATGAATAAGAATTAAAACTATCCTTCAAAGGAAATATTTGAAACATACTTTTGCTTCAACACATCTGGCATGAACAACCCCACAAAATATTTCTAAGGTGACTGTTATTAGCATCTGGAATTGCCCTAAAGCCAGTCGTTTGGACACCTTTGAGGTCCGCATGCTACAGCCTACAGCTTGTCAACCTTGTGCTGTTAGCATCTGGAATGCCCCTAAAGTCAGTAATTTATTTATAGATATATTTGAACTCCACATTATACAAGGCTGCAACTTGTCAACTGTAAAGATTCCGGTGTTCACAGTTTCTGTAAATGTTGCATTTGTGTTCTATACTTATATGGGCCTTTTGGGTTGTGGATTTGTGGATGCACATTCAACTCAAATGCTCTACCCACTGAACTAATTAAAATTCGATGACTGAAGCCATCTTTTGTGTTTGAATTTCATTTCTACAGTCCTTATGCAAAAGAAGCAGTCGAAGATTATGAAACGCAAGACAAGGCAAGGGAAAGCTTTGGAGAAAAAGGCAGCAAGATCAATCATGGATGTCTTACAGGAAGTAAGCAACCTTGTGCTATTAAGTTTGTTTCTTGCCATGTTTATTTTGTTAGTAGTGTACTTGAAAGATTTTTACTCTGGATCTGTGACAGGCAAATCTGGAATCCCTGCCTCCTCATGTCCCAACATATTTGAGGGCTGTTGTGGGTCCACCAAGCACTTCATCTCAACGGCACTACTGTTCAGTCTGTGGTAGTTCTGCAAACTACACGTGTGTGAGGTGCGGAACAAGGTTCTTGTCGGGTTTATAAACCCGGGGTCCCTCGCGGACCGGCCTCCCAATAAAGGTTCGACCCAAGCAGACAAAACGCACAACTCATGGGCCGAACCAAGTACCTAAATGACAGGCCAACGGGGCAATCGAATCTCCGACCGGGAGGCCTGGCCGAGGAGGAACAGCGTCCACTTTCCGATTCCGGCCCACCTCTCCGACTGGAGCACTCGCTTCGGTCTCCAGCTCGCCTCCGGACGGCCTCTTCGACCGGAAGGCCTGGCCAAAGCACTACTTCCGACTCCGACAAGGGATGTGCCAAACCCCTGCTCACGACTCTTCTCCGACTGGCGCGATCAGAACCGACTGAGACCAACCGACCGAGGACGCCTGCTCGGAATGGACAAGGAAACGAACGGAGAAAGCAAGGCAGGGTGTACAAGTCAAACCACGATACTAGGGACCGATCTCGCATACACCGCAGTAAAAGCAGATTTCGCAACCTCCCCAAGACAACTGTAACCCAAACAGTGTTGTAGACGTCGACATTTTCCCCTACAGTATTGTGGGCGCCGTTAACTCCCATATGGTAAGGCTCCCCCCACATGCCTCTGGACATCGACAGTGTTGTGGGCGCCGACATTTACCATACCGAGTGAACATGGTAAAACTCTTCACATGTCTCTAGGCATCAGCAGATGGCAAAAATTTCACATCTCGCCATACTCGAACAAGACGACGCAACCTCCCACGTGCATCTGACATCCAATAGTGTTGTGGGCGCTTACCATCATCCTATACCCGTCGGCGTGGACAACAAGGCTTAGAAGCATACATACTCTCTCCCTCTCACTTATAAGGTGCCCTTCATCTATAAAAGAGGATGCGCTCTCTCCCAACATTCAGATTCAAAAGATCGATAAAGTTCACTAGTACACAACCACAGAACCGCCAGGTTCGAACCACAAGCACACGCTTGAACACTTAGCTCGTAGCAGGGCTCCCGTCACTCTCGGCCCTTCCAACCGGAGTCCAACCGGACCTCTTGTACCCCTTATCTTTCTCCTTCTTGTTTGTAACCCCACTGCAAACTTCGAGCACCTGGGCTCAGGAATAAAGTCACCGACCGACTCAAACTGAACGTAGGGCACGTTGCCTAAACCAGTATAAACCCTGTGTCATTGAGTGCTAGGCCATCTCCGATCACAACGTACGGCAAACTTATAAATATTTACTTGTTGGTCACTTTCTGCACCGACAGTTGGCGCCGTCCGTGGGGAAGACGCTGTACGTTCAATACTTTTTTGTCATCGGATGACCCACTTTTCCGCCACCCTCGCCATGGCGGGCTCAGGTGATACGATTCACTTCGGCTCACTAGAGTTTCCCACACTCCCACCTGTTGGGATGTGGGTTCCACCCGTTTCCGGGCCATCCCAGGCCTTCCTCTTTGGAAGCTTCGGACTTCGTCGCCGACCGGCTCAGCGCACTACACCTCTGCGAGGAGGCACTCGTTCCGGCGCCCGTCGGGGGGGCGCCCTCCATCGGCTCCGGGACGCACGACGACTTCAACAACAAGGCATCTGCGCTTCATTCCGAGCAAACTCTCTGCTCAAACCCCGCTGTGAGTAATATGCATACTGTTATTTACTCTCTATTTACTATCTCCCGCTGATTATTCGGAGGGACCTTATTGACTGCACCATGACACCATACGACCGGTTCCCCTACGGCCGCTACTTCGCAGACGCTGCAGTGCTCGGGGGCTCAAGGACGCTGCCGCTATCCCTCTCACGTCCGAATTCGTGGGAATGGCGAGCTATGCTCCTGCCACTTTCCACGAACTCCCAGATGACGAGGGTGAGAGCGACGCTCCAAAGATCGGCGACGTGGCACCTAGCCACCGTCCGTCCCGGAGTGCGCTATGGCGGACGCTCCGGGACAGCCGTCGATCGTTATGAGTCTATGCAGACTCACACCCTCCGCACTCCACGCAGCGGGGACCTCGTGTTTGCGCGAGTGCACGCCAAGGAACTACGATAACGACGGCAGAACCAGCCGCCGCCGCATGCCGCGCGCGCTTCGGTACAACACGCTGCGCCCGGCGCGCATGGCTCGGTGGGTGGCCCCGGTCACGC